GGGTTGCGGAAAGGGCGAGAGGGAAATCGGAACGACGTGCAGATTCAAGATGCGTTAACATTGTAAGGGCGGAGGGTTTATAGTGGGTATCTGAAAGCAGTTTGAAAACGGGATCGGGGAGCGGTTGACTCTGGGCAAGAAGTTTTGCATGAAGGCGCAGGTTGGGTGATGGTCTGTACACGGAGGTGAGGGTGGATTGAAGATGGGTGAGGGATTCGAATGACAGGGAATGAAAAGCGACTGCAACCTTTCGTAAGAAGAGTGCAACAACGGAATCAAGTTGATAAGCGCCCAGTAAGTCCGGATCAGTATGATGTTCGAAGAGGTACACAAGCGAAAAAAACGCATGGGGAGAGGTGACAGCATGTTTTACAATGGCGTTAAGAAGGTGTGATAGCGGGATTGAATCTGGAGGAGTTGGGTTAGGAACGTATGTAGCCAGTAGTGAAACGTTGGGATGAACGGTTATGGCGTCGAGTTGACGGAAGAAGTGTTCGTGGGAGGGGGGGGATGTGACGAAGTTGTGGATGACGGGGAAGAAGGGGGGAAGTGGTTTGGCGACTGCTGGAGACGACGCGGCGAGTGCGAGTAGTAGCTTCTGCGCGGTGAGAAATCGCGCGGCGGCGGGCGGCTCCATGACGGACGCGGAGCGACGGCGGCGGTTTTTGCTGTTCGCGGAGCGACGAAGGCGGCGTTTTCTTTCGCTAGGGATCAAAGCGAAAGGGTGCGAACGATTGCGTGTGTGCAACGTGGATAACGTGGTTCACGCGGCGCGGTGATTGGGCGATCAGAGCTGAGTGCTTGATCGATGGCATGTGTGTGCCTCCGCGGTATGCACAAGTTGGAGGCGCGGCGTGAAAGAGACGGGCGTTGAGAGAAGGCGGGTGACGACATGGACGGATTGCTTTTGGTGATGACGGTGTTGAGCGCTGTGGGATCGGCGACGGTGGTGTACGCCGTGGTGGCGCTGCTGAAAACGATATACCACTACGGTGTGTACAAGTTTTCGTTCCGGTCGTATGGCGGCGAATGGGCGGTTGTGACGGGCGCTTCCGGCGGCATTGGCGCGGAGTTTTGTCGTCGTCTTGCGGCGCGAGGCGTCAACATCATCCTTCTAGCACGATCCGTGGACAAGATGAAACAGCTCGCACAAGAATGTGAAAGCAAATATTCAGTTGAAACGGTGGTACACGGATTCGACTTCGGCGCGGCCGAAGAAGAGCAATGGGCCACTTTGAAGCAAGTTGTGATGTCAAAATCAGCAACGATTCTTATCAACAACGTGGGCATAAGCTTTGAAATGCCTACCGATTTCATAGACGTGGACGAACAGTTGATTGAACGAATGATGCTCGTTAACATTCGCTCCACGAATCGAATGACCAAAATGGTGCTACCGCACATGGTGTCCAGCAAGAAGGGAATCATAATGTGTCTATCATCTGGCGGGGGAGCGGTGACGCCCGCGCCCATGCTGTCGCCCTACGCAGGAACAAAGGCGTACAACGATGCGTTTGCAGTGAGTCTCAACGGCGAGCTCCGCCCGCACGGCGTGCACGTGCATTCGCTGACGCCCTTCTTCGTAGAAGGCTCCATGGCGAAGATGCGCCGCAGTTTCACCGTGCCCACAGCGGAGCGCTTTGTGGAAAACGCGCTTTCACAAGTCGCGTCCTCCCCGCGTCTAAATCCGTACTGGGTGCACTACATGATGGGCACGGCAGTTCGAGCGCTTCCGCTGCAGCAACAGACGGAGCGCGTGGCGACGCTGCACAGCTCGATTCGGAAAAGAGCGCTTCGCAAACAAGAGCGTCTCGCAAAGCGAACTTGAACAACAAAAACTTTATGTAGACCTATCCACAAGGGTACGTAGATAACCCGCGACCCGATACATCCGCCTCCGAAACGACAGAAACGCTTCCGTTTTTATTCGAATTTCAGCACCCGCTTTCCATGACAGGCGCACGAGTAAAAAAGACACGTTCTGCGCAGAGGAGCGTCGCTGCGGCGCCCGCCCTCTGAGTGCGCTCTCACGTCGCACACCGCGCGAAGCGTACCAGTGGTACCACACTCGAGACATTTCCTCTACCGTCGCCCTTCTCGCCACCCTCGAACTCCCGGCTGCTCCCCTTTTTAAACCCTGTCCATACCGAGACCTCCACCCCCCACTCACCCCCACCTACCCCCCTCCCAACCACAAAGCACCCCCTTGCTGCGCGTATGTCATTCTCGCTGCCCCACCATCGCCGTCTTACCCGTTTCTCGTCCCTACCCCATCATGCCCGATTGGCGTAATACCGCCTCCCGCATTCGAAACAGCATTTCCTCCCGCATCGACTCCCGTAACGAACAGCTTTCAGATTCCTCTCAACAGCAACAACAACAACAATATCAACAACTATCCCCCACCGACCCCAACTCAAACTTCATTCATTCTTACGCAACCCAGCATTCCACTGCACCGTCCTCCCACTCCCATGTCCCCACCGTCTCCGTTCCCAGCATCGATGCAGCGAGCACAGGCAGTTCAATGTCCCCCGTTCCGGGAGCCTTCTACATTCCAAATGCAATTGCCCAAAGAGCATCCAAAAACATGCCCCCCGCCGACGGCGCCGCCCTACGTCGTCAGCTAGCTTTAGACGCCCTCGCTTTAGTCCGCGAACTGCCCTGTCACGCCAGCGGCTTGCTCCAAGTCAAACGCGACATCTCCAAGTTTTCCTCCCTCTTCCGATCCCAATGGATGCTCTATCGCGTCGAACTTCGCGGCGGAATGTTACTGTGCTACGAACCAGTCGTCGACCATTTCAACCAAACCAACATTATCAAACATGTCTTCCAGGCCACTCATTGTATCATAGGCCTTAAGCACACCGCTCACTACTCCTTGCTAAAGCTCAGACGATCCGACGATAACCTTGTCATGCGTAACTGCGACAACCTTGTCATGCGTATTGGCACCCCACAGGAAGCCCAGCAGTGGGTTGTCGCTCTGCAAACTCACACCGTTCAGTACACAGCCACCCGTCTGGCCGATTTTGACTGGATCATCGCTATTGGCAAGGGCGCAAGCGGTAAAGTCTTTCTCGTACGTGATAATCGCACCAATGCCCGACTCGCGCTCAAGGTTGTCGACAAATCGCGCGTCTATCGTAACAACCTCACCTTTCAACACATCGTCAATGAACGTTTGGTATTGGAGGCATGTTCCGGTTGCCCATTCACCATTCAGTTACGCTATGCCTTCCAAACCGACTCTCATCTGTACTTTGCCACCGATTTTTACGATGGGGGCGATGTGTTCACCCTCATGCAGAACAACCGCGGTCGTCTAAGCGAGCGACATGCACGATATATCATTGCTGAGATCGTGCTCGCACTGTCATGGTTGCATGAGCGCAACATTGTGTACCGCGATTTGAAGCCGGAGAACGTCGTGTTGGACGGACATGGGCACGTGCGACTGGCCGATTTTGGACTCGCAAAGATGCTCAAGTCGGAGCGCGACTATCTCACACAAACAATTTGTGGCACCACGGCTTACGCGGCGCCGGAAATGTTGCGATCTAGGGCGTACAGTTTTGCCTTGGATTTGTGGTGTCTGGGCGTGTTCATTTATCACATCTTGTGTGGACGAACGCCGTTTGACTTTCGGAATAAGAATATGGACGAAATGGCGGAGATTCAACGTACGAAACAGGTTCGATACTCGTCGTCACTTAGTTTGGAGGCCGTGTCTTTAATTGAGGGGCTACTTCGACTTGAGCCGAGTCGACGAAGTTCTATCAACGATGTGAAGAAACACCCGTTCTTCAGAGGGGTGGACTGGATGCGGGTGGCACGCAAAGAAGGACACGCTGATGATGTTTCGAAACTTGTCAGTAGTAAGGATAAGAACAAGAAGGGACTGGCCAGACTGGCTGAGACGCGGGCGCAACAACTGGGCATTGACTCGGAACTGTCGAGATCTGGAATGAGCGGATTTGATGCCTCGGAGATTAGTTCGATGACGTTGGACCGATACTTGCTGCGTAATATCAATGCGGAAGAATGGCGACATGTTAGTTTTAGCGATGATGATGATCGATCGGCTACGGCGGAGTTCTCACCTGCGATTCATCGCAACGGCAGGGAACGCGAAACACGCATGATTGCAGGGTGGGCGTGGACATGTAGCGAGGCTAGTGGACACGCGAACTTTCTTTGCAATGTTCGGGAGGGACTGGTGGCTGTGTCGGATGGTGTGGTTGATGGAGGGATGGGGATTGGAATTGCGCCTCTTGGAAATCATAGCGGAGCGGTTCGAAGTGGGGCGAGACGGTCTCTACCGGCGGCCGTACAGGGCTCTGGATGGGACTATGGTGGATATGCTCACGGGCGTAATGGGTTTGGGGGTGGGGGACGGTCGGTATTATCGCATAGCGGGTGGAACGGCGCTGTGGAACGGGGCGGTGGTGCAAACGTGACAGCCGCGACGGCGACGGTGACGGCGAGTGCGACAGCGAGTGCGACGGGACAGAGTGATGTGGAAGGTGTGGTACGTCCGAATGGAGAGGGGATTCGCGCGGTATTCCGGCGACGTAGCGCGGACATAAACGGTGGGGGTGTCGGTAGTGGTGGTGGTGGGGTTGGTGGAGGCGGTGGGGTTGGTGGAGGTGGCGGGGGACTTGGTGGACGGGGACGACGGGCGTTGGGAAGAATTGGCAGCACATTACGAGAGGCGCGCGAGCGGGTGAGCATCGATCAGCTCGGTTGGTCGCGTAAGAGCATCGAACGACGGCGCTTTGGGGCGTGGCGTGGCGGCGGCACAGGCGGCGCTACATCATGACAGGACTTGCGGCTACTGCGGTGTTTAGTCTTGTATGTAAATCACTTGAGAGCTTCTTCTTGTGGTCGGTATCGCTTTAGAGGCTATGTTCTGGGCGAGATGTTATCTTCTTGGGTACGGTCAGCATTGGTTTGCCCTTCATATTCCTAGATAGGCAAGCATGGAAGCGTGATGTGTGGCCGCTATAGCTCAGTTGGTAGAGCGCTTGACTAGTAATCAAGAGGTCTCGAGTTCAAATCTCGGTGGTGGCTGTTTTTACCTCTACGTTCCTTCGTCGCTTGACTTTTTTGTCCAAGTTCATGTCGAACAAAGAGTATTTGGAGGCGTCTACATTTACAAACCCGGGCCCCTCGTTTTACGATGCGTGCGAAGCGGTGGATGGTCGTGAAAAAGAGACGCATGCAGTTTCCAGCGGAAATGCGTGCACTCACTATATGTACGAAAAGTTTGTTAAAGGGTTAAAGGGTTACCTCTTTCCAGAATACTCACGTGCCTCTGCCCTCTGCGTCGGAAACTTGGACTCAGGCAAGAAGAACTCTCTCTTTATCTGCCCACCAGCTTAGTAACGATTTTTTTAAAAGGTGCTCAACAAACTCATTGCCACTGTGGATGATCACGTCTATCGCGTCGTCCACCATGTCGATTACGCCCACCACCAGCAGAGCGTCTGGACCCACCGCTCGACCGATTTGAACGATCGGCCCTTCTCTGCTGTCTAGCCGCTCGTTCCTCTTCGACGATTCCTAGCACCAGCTCCGGTACTCGGATATACTTGATTGTGTTGCCGCGAATGTACAGTTGTGGAACGTGCCAAAAGTCGTTACCGTCGCGAGAGGTACGAACTGCGTCGGTGAGGGACATGTTCATCCACAGATCCATGCTGTGTAACTTTGCGTTGTACGTCTCGCCGTTCTTCAGCTCGATTAGGATTGGACAGCCTGTGGCGCTTTTCAAAAGGGAGAGGGGAAGCATTTTGGAGGCGGAGGGAGGGACCGCAAGTCGTGGACGAAGATGGTGATGAGAGGGAGGAAAGTACGGGCCTGGGGCGCTTTGCAAAGTTTGCAGTGTGTATGTGCCGCGTTGATCTTTTTTTACAATACTGTGGTTACTTGTTTCATGTGTGAAGGGCGGACTTCGTCACCGTTATCTGGGGTTGATGTCAATGTTTCCTGAGAGAACCCCAATGGCGAAGCCAACAAGCGGCACCAAGAAGGTGAGCACACCGGTGATGAGCCAAATGTCAACGGAGCCCTTCTTGACGCCGGAGGTGTAACGAAACGATGTATCACGGTCAAGATATTCGGTTTGTTTGCGGAATTTCACCAAAGGTTCGGACTCTTGGAGCTGACGACGTGTGCGTTCCGCCGCGGATACTTGCTCTTCTTGCGGGAGACGGGCTGCTGGTGTCGGTTTTGCAGCCGTTGTTTGAGACGGCGTGCGCTGATTCGGCGCTTTTTGTTCGCACATTGTCCAGCGGGATGCGACGCGGCCTGCGGGGAATGCGGCTCCAGATATGAAGGCGCTTGCGTGTGACACTGAGTACGGCATCTTCTTGGATGATGGAAGTGAGTCTCTGCTTCGTTAAGCTGACGGTGTCTGATTTGTTGGGGGGGTGGATGAGGATGGCGGCTGGCTTTAAATGTTATGTTGGTACCGTTGGTAGAGGCAGGTCTGCGGTTAGGTGTCGATGATGCGCGAATGCGTTAGATACAGACCACAAGTGATCAATTGTGCGCTGCAGCACGTAGTCTACCAGAGTGCCATGTGCGCCATCTACGGCCAGTTATTGTCATATAAACCTGACATCCCGACAGGTACCCAACCTGTCCCCATCCTCAACAACCAAAAGTAAATCCGCGTCGGCGCTCCATGCGCGAAGCGACGGAAGATTACGCACGAGGAAAGAATTCCATCTCCGCTATATCCGCGGGTCGACATGAGCGCGCAGCCTTCTTCTTCCACGGACGTTGCCACGCCGTCGACGGCGACGGAGCTCTCCCCGCAGGAAGAGCTGCCACAAAAGCCTGAACGAGATCCCCGTTACCCGCTCTCAGTCCTCTACTGCCCGGTATGCACCTTCCCGCCCGAATTACACGAATACCACTCCCGCACCCATTTTGAGAAGTACGTCAATTCCCGTCCGCAAAAAGTCTGCCGCGTTCTCGATAATACCCTCCCATTAACATACAACCCCCTCCCCAAAGATGCAAGGAGTGGCTTCGCAAGAACGCCCCGCAACATTTCCCAGACCTCTTTCCAGATGAATGTGCTGCACGATTAGAGGCGCTAAGATTAGCTGAGGAACAGGGTGTATCCTTGCCTCCAACAACTTCCGATCAACAGGATAACAATCAACCTAAAGTCGCAGTTCCAATTGAACAGAAAACGAGCGGCGGAAAAAAGAAAAAGACTCCAGCGCATATCGTGCTTGCACTCGGTCAACGAAAGGGAAAGAAACAAGTGACCATTGTCTACGGCCTCGATTTGTTTGGTATCAAACTGAAGGACGCTGCGAAAGCGGCGAAGCGAAAGTTTGCAACGGGCTCCTCTATCACAATCGTACGTTCTTTTGACATCTTTCACCTTTTCTCTTCTTTTTGGTTACACGTGACGCCGCTTTCGCTCGGCACTTACCGCGTTTTTTTTTTTATATGCTTTTTTTTTCTTGGTTTGTTTCGAACAGTCGCCGGATAACAGAGACGTTATTGAGATACAGGGCTCTAGGCAACAAGACTTTGCGCAACTGGCTCATTCTGAATGGGGTGTAAGTTAACTGTCTAATACCTTATGTTCTACAAGTTGATCGTTGTCAATGTTACTCATCCCGTTTCCAATTTTGCCAATCAATTCAGGTACCGAAGGACGTCATTTTCATCGTAAACGCCCAAAAGAAGAAGGTCAAAGCCTTTCCGTGATACTGCCCTCTACATAAAAAGCCCCCAAACCTCTCAACTGTCAATTGCTTACCGAACTGCTACCCCGCCCCGTCCCCCGAGCCCAGCCCCGAGCCCCCAACGAAGAGAATGTTTCACACCATCAGTTTACTACGCAGTGCGCTTACTGTCGCTTTCAACTCCTCTTCAGCCACTCTCAACCTCATCTTGGATCGCTCTCCAATTCTGCACCGAGCCTTCTGCCATTGTTTCACGGCATTTCCTTCCCCCGTGTATGCAACCGCTTGAAGAATCGCTTTTCGACTCATCGTCACACCTCCACTCTTCACCCTTAGAGTCTCTGCATCCAGTTTCACAATTGATGCATCTGCAGCTGCTACTCTTGCGTTATGGAGTGCTTGTGAGATAGCGTCGTGCATTTGTTTCATACCTTGCCATTCTGCGTTATCCTCTTCTGTCCTCTTGGTGCACGTATCTTGAAGCTCGCATAACTGCGTTTGCAAGAGCTGTCTTCGTAAATGTATGGTTTCTTCCACCTTGTGTACCTGGGACAGCGGTGTTGCTACCAGAACAGACTTGCCAGCCGTGCCGCGGCTTGCTTTTGCACGTTGATTTTCCCCGTCATTGTTATCCGACTCATGCGGAAGGTTGTGTGGTTGTGTGATACTATTTGCATCGCCAACATCTTCTACCTGCTCAGTGGGCATCTGCCGTCGTTTGCTTAGAGTCAGCTGCTGTTCCGCTTCGGACAGTTGTTGTTTCAAGCTTTCAATCAATTTAGCATCTTCTCGGGCGCTTGCTAAACGATCGTCATACACATTGAGACGGACTTTCAAATCTTCCACTTCACCCTCTCGTTGTCGCAGTTTGGTGCGCGCAACATTCAACTTGCTTTGCAGTTCTTCCGAGCTAGCATTTGCCCGTGTTGTAGCAAGCAGTTTCTCGCGAACACTTCGGGCACGGTCATCCCCTCCGGCACAAACCATGTCACAGAGATTGGGCGACTGCATTTCTTGGACGAGTTGTGATGATGGAACGATATCTGATACCACATCCATGGCCATCCCCAGAAGATCAGTGTTCATTGTAGCATAAGCCTGCGTACTTGTTAATGAAGGCTGTTGCTGCATCTCACATAGCTGCACAAACACGTTTGATGTACGTTGTTCCAAGGTTGTGACCGCTTCATACAGTTTGTGTGCTCGCTGCGGAAGCTCATTCGCACTCTCAAAGCACCAACGCAAAGTATTTTGCATAAGGCACGAAAGTCGTTCAATCACCTGTAGCGAGTTTTGCATGAACCGTTTGTGCGCTTCGGAAGCGTTCTGTCGGAGAGTGGGAATATGAGATTGAAGATACACAGAAAGATTATACGTAGAGTACGCCCGAACGAACATGCGATACGCCTTGAAATCGGATACAATCGCTTCAGCATCTGGAAAATACTGCTCTAGAATGTTCAACGGCGTGAGCAAGTGCTCCGCACGCAAGCCGCGCAGAAGAAAAGAAGCGTCTGCAATAAATTGGGAGGGATGTTGTGCGGCTTGCTCAAGCTGAAACTGCAGCGTTCGAACCGATGCCTGCAACGTAGATTCCATCTGTGCGGAAAGTTCACAGAGTTGTTGCAGTTCTTCGATGCGGTTATGCAGCGTTTGATTGTGCTCTTTTTCCTCCGCCAGCAGCGTGTTGAGTCGTTGAATGCGGCGATCTTTTCGACGAGAGGCATCGGAGATCTCATCGTGTAGCCGCTGTTCGGTGTTGTTTTGAGAGTGACGATAACGAGCTGCATCGGCGGCGTACTCCTCGGCAAGCGCTGCTGCCTGTTCGGCGGCGCTGGCCAGGCTTTGGTTATCGGCCTCTAGTTGTCGGATTCGAGTTTGCAGCGCTGCGATTGAGCTGGACATTGTGTTGTTCAAGAGGTGCTGCTACTCTGTTGAAATTCATGCGTGAGAGTCTTGATGGAGAGCTACTGTCGTGAAGAGTGTAGACGGTGGTAAGCTGTGCGGTCTCAAAAGGTGGGAAGCGTTTCTATTTGCATGGAATTTGCAGCTGCAAAGGGGAGCGCTAACGCTACCACTTGGGCACCATGGACGAAGTTGTTTCGTGGTAGCAGCGCACTAAGCTACTTGTCTCCACCCAAGCATGCTTATGAGCAGATCCGAAGAAGAAAACAAAACAAAAACGCGTAACTCGACTCAAAAAGTGTATTTGGCACATCATTTATGCAGAAAAAAAAAGTCATGCAAACTTCGCCTCATCTTCTTTGACGACAACTCCTACAGCACCCTCTGCAGCAGCTTGTGGAGGATGAACAGCGCCCTCCGCCGGCACGGGGATAGAGTGCATAGGTTCAGAGC